TATATATATATAAAGTGAGAAGATAGAAAATATTAATATTTAATTTATATATATATATATATATATTTATGAATAATTAAAAAATAAAATAAATTAAAAATAAATATTCGTTGATTTTTAAGATCAATGGTTAGTTATATATTTTTTTTAAAATTGATTTGGTTCTAATTATACCATTGGTTATATATATATATATTAATGATGAAAGACACATTTTAATGTTATTACTTGCAATTATGTTTTATGGAATATGTCTTATGTTTAACATCATATTTGTTATTGGTTATTTTATATATAATTTTCAGGTATGACATCCGGTTCAAGAGAAAGAAGTTCAAGAAAAATCCATCTACTTTGTAATGTTAAAAATTTCTTAATTTTTTAATTAGTAAAAATTAACTTATACAATTAATAAATGTATCTTCATTTCATTCTAATTTATATCAATGATTTATCAAAAAATTTAATTTATTAATTAACTTTCAAAAATTTTATTGTACATTTTTTTATATTAAGAAAATTCTATTATTTAAATATTGACATCAAAAGGTGGAAATATATAAAAAAAAATAAAGTAATACATGTTTATAAAATTAAAATAATAACACTTTCATAAACATTAATAAAATAATGTTAGAAAATATAATTATCATAATATATTTTGTTATTATTATTTATTATTATAAATATTATTATTATTATCATTATTATTAATATTATTATTATTTATTATAATTAGTATCATTATTATTTATTATGATTCTTATTATTTTTCTAATATTTATTATTATTATTATCATTATTTATTTATTTTTTTTAAATTATACCTATTAATATAATTTTATTGTAATTATTATTATTTACAATAAATAATATTCTACTCATTTTTAATCCAAGGGTAAAAGTGTAAATTACATATTCATCTATTAAATTTTTAATTTTTATCTATCACATCAATCAATTTCTACATAAATTCTCACAAATTTTCCAATCACTTTCTACTATTTTTCCCTTAATCCAAACAACTTCACTTTCCACTCTCTTTCTTTTCAAATATTTCCTTTTCCACTCCCCCAAATCCATCCTTCAATCCAAACACAACCTTAGTGGTGAGGGAGAAGCAAGGAGTTTGAACTTTGAAGACATTCATATTGCATTCATTGAATCTTAGAGTTTTTATTGACCTTTTTCTATTCTTTTTCTCTTCATTGCAAACTTTTTTCATGCTAGAAATCATAAATTTTAAGAATTGTAATTTCTAAGAATGATAAAAATATATTCGGTTAGTCATAAATATTTATAAATTTTATCTAAGAATCAATAATTTTTTTATTGTATTATGTAAATAAATCTAACATAATATTTTTATCACATTAAAATTTTATTTTTATTTCAAAAAAATTAGTTTCTCATCTCTCAATTGGGAAAAATCTATGAAAAATCATTCTTGAATATAATGTTTCTAAAAATGTTATTTTTTAAATAACAAATCAAACATGAAAAACTAACATTTTTTTTATGTTAGATTTAAAATTTTATTTTTACTTTGAGAAAGTTAATTTTCTCTCTCCATGAAAATATTTTTGGAAAAAATTTATGCAAAAATTATTTTCAAAAATATTAATTTTTAAATAACATAATAAACGTAAGAAACTAACGTTACTGACGTCATTTTGAGGAAAGTACTATGTAGTGAAACGTCCCCTTAGGTTTGGGTTTGATATACTGGGACATCATTTTTAGAGCTCTTTCTAATTTGATTGGTTCTTAATTTAACTCATATTTAAATTAAGTGATCGTTACTTTATTTAATGCTTTTTTGGTTGAACGATTAATTTAATATTCAAATTGTACGTTAACAATGTTCCTTAACAATGTTTTTTTGGTTGTTGTCATTCTGGGACGGTGTTCTTAAAAGGTGATCAATAGAAATATATAGGAATCGTGGATGATTCATGTATTTCTTCTGTCTGATTGGTCATGTGCGCACGATGCATTGAATGAAGAAATCTAATGCATGGCATCCGCAGATACGTTATCGATGTGGGATGTTGGCGCAATGGTACTCATGTTGTACTGTTCAATTGACTATTCCAAAGTCTCCTGAATTTTGGAGTCAAAATTTGGGCACGCCAACGTTGCTGGCAAAAAGTGTTGAACAGAAGGAAGTTTCATGGTAATGGCTATGCCCAATTTTATAATCAAATATCTGATTCGACCAAAGATACAAAAAGCAATGTCGAAATGTCATAATATCATGGGACTTGAAAATCTAATAGACTGACATAACAAAGATTAGTGTTGTTGTTTGTGGCTTTTTTTAAGTCTAAGTACAAAATATATTATTATGCTTAATGTCTTACTGCCGGCAGGTGGAGTTGATCATATGCTACGCCAACACTTGTATGCTTCCAAATCCAATAATTTGGCCAAGATACATCAATATAATAAATAGTCTTATTATTTAACAGGAGGATTTTCTCTCCACAAGCAAGCATGAAGCATTTCCCCTTTAAATTATGAGTATATGAATGTTGAAGGCTTGAAGCACGTAAACCCGCACGCTGCTTCAAATATTCATTGATTTATTTTGAGTAAATTATGCAACATAATGCTTAGAGTGTAAGAAGTTTGAACCCCGCAGACTGGGTTGGTGTTTAGCTTCTTTATGAAGAAATAGATACTTTTATTCAAACTGATTTCAACAAATTATTTAGTATCCATGCATGCCAACGGAAACACGCATTTGAGTCAAAGAAACAATAAAATATATTCTATTAACAATCCTCTTGGGACAATTATTTGAAGATTTTGATTGTGCAAAAGATGAGTTACTATAGGAAACACATCCGGGCTTTAATTACAAATACAATGTATATCAACATTTCAACCACGTCGAATAATGAATCTAAGCTCGTACATATAAACAACTCTTATTTCCATATTATCGCAGTAAAATATAAGTAAAGAGAAGTAAACGTCTCTATTTAACAATTTTAAATTCATTTCACCAAATTTTAAAAGATACTAAGACATAATACCTTAATGGTTTATATAAGTTTTTTTTTCCCAATAGAAGACGACATTTGTCATTTAAATTAATTTTGATATCAGACAGAAAGAAACAGAAGGCTCGAAAAACTTAGTACTTGAAATGAAATGATTACTTCATTTTATGTAGTTACCATTCCATCCATTAAACTTGATGATGCTGAACTAAAGATTGCTAGAGTAATATATTTCCTGGCCATCAGAAGATTTACATGAATATCCTACAGACTTTAGATGATCCATTAATTGATCCAGCATGGAGTATATACTGGTCGAAGCACCATGCCTTTTGTCATCCACCATGAATTGATAGCAACAGCCATCGATTTCAATGAAGCTAATCGCCCTACACTTTTGTATACCCCTGTCATCCATTATTTTCCTGATCTTTTTCATGTCATCCCATCTTTGAGATTCTGAATACATGTTTGAGAGAAGCACATAAAGGCCAGAGTCATAACGTCCCAACTCCAGCAGCTGCTTCATGATTTGCTTAGCAATCTCTATATTCCCGTAGGTCCTACAAGCACTAAGCAAAGCACCCCAAACAACAACATCAGGTTTGACAGGCATATTTTGTATTACGGTTATTGCTTCTCCTAGGAACCCTCCACGACCTAAAAGATCCACCATGCATGCATAATGTTCCACATTAGGAGAAATCCCAAAAGTAGAACTCATTATGTCAAAGTAATATCGCCCCATGTCCACAAGTCCACTGTGACTACAAGCAGAAAGTAACCCTGTGAAGGTAATCTCATCAGGACACAGCCCACTAGCTTGCATCCTCTTGAACATCTCAATTGCCTCTCCTCCAAAACCATGCAGAGCAAGTGCTCCAATAATAACGTTCCACGACACCACATTCTTCTCAGGCATCCCCAAGAAGATGTCCATCGCAGTCTGAAGAGCACCACATTTTGCATACATGCCTATTAGGGAGTTACAAAGCGTCACACTCACTGTAATATTGTTGTCACAAATGTAACTATGGGCTTGTTTTCCCAATGCTAGATCACCCAAGTGACTGCAGCATGAAAGGATGCTAACAATAGTACCATCGTCAGGTGTCACACCTGAAATACACATCCTGTAGAAAAGTTCCACAGCTTCTGTGTACAATCCCTCTTGAACATGGCACCAAATTATTGAATTCCAAGAAACCACATTCTTCACCGGCATCTGATTAAAAATTTGCACAGCATCATCAACAAGCCCATGATTAGCATAAGCATTAACCATGCAAGTCCAAGAAACAACATTTTTATCAAGCATTCTATCAAAAATACGTTTAGCACATTGCAAATGCCCGCACTTGGCATACATATCTATGAGCGCATTGATCACAATCGAATCTATTTCAATTCCAGAAATAACAATATAAAGATGCACAAATCTTCCCAAATCCAAATTACCATGCTTTGAGGAAACAGAAAGCAAGCTAACCAAGGTGAACACATCAGGCTCCACACCTAGGTGCTGCATTTCTTGAAACAAAAAAACGGCTTCGTTGCAAGTGCCCATTTTAGAATACCCGGCAATCATGGAATTCCAGGAGACAAGTGTCTTGTCAGGAATATCATCAAACACTTGCCGTGCACTTGGTATCAGACGACAAGAAACATAGACAGTCAAAATTGCATTTTGCACACATGCATGAGGCCCCATTCCGAGCTTAATAGCCTGAGCATGAATAACAACAGCTTCCCAATAGAAGGGTTTGTTAGCACAAGCTTTGAGAACAAAGGGGAAGGTGAATTGGTTTGGCATAAGGCCGGCACTCATCATTTGATGGAAGAGCAACAAAGACTTCATTGGGTCATCAATATTCGAATAGCCCCTTATTAAATGATTGTACATGAATTTATTGGGTTGGGGAATTTGATCAAACAGGAGGTGTGCGTAAGGGAGATCTCCCATTTGGACGCAGAGAGAGACTAGCTTGCCTAGTGTGAGAACTTGGGCAGCAAGTCCATGGAGGATGATCTGGGAATGGAGAATTTTGAGTTGTCTGATGGAGGAACATTGGTCTAAAAGATGGTGAAGGGTTTGGTGAGTGGGTGACTTCAACTTGTGCCATATGTTTTTGCTGATTTGTGTTTGCGTTTGTGATTGTAGGGAGCTAAACCAAAACAGGCGGGAACCAATGCTCGCGGTTTTCAATTTCAGAACAGAGGACATCAAATCAACCCAGGTACAAATCTACCCAAAGTTCGTCTACCAATCCTATATATTCATTTTCTGTTGTTAATTAAAAAATTATGGGTGTCTGAGATTTTCTTGGTCCAGATATATATTTTCTTTATGTAATACAAAAAGTATAACTCTTTTGGATGTTTTATAGGAATAATATAGTACTTACATTCATAATTTTATATTTAAATATCAAATTATGTTTTTATTAAAAAAATACAAATTGCGAGTGGTTTAAACTAACAAGTTTTAATTGTTCCATGTACTTTGGTAATCACTTTTTTGACAATACTGACTCTCTTCGTGTGTCGGTGTGGTGTGCGTATGATGTGTAGTTGTCAAAGAATATGATGCATTAAGGGTTAATTCAAAAGTTTATTTGACTGAGAAAACAAAAACGATTGATAACAAAATTTTCAATTTGTGTATAATCGCAAATTATACAAAAGATAAAACTTAGAAGGATGACGACATTAAAAAGTTGGTTTGGGTGTCTATTTGTTGTCGCATGTTTGTCGTTCAAAGTTGAATTATGTCATTTAAGCAATTAATTGTACTCATAGAAAACTTATACTTTTTTATGCTATTTCAAGTTCTGCAGCTATCATGTGGAAATACAAGTTTTTTCAAATACCAATGTTATACACTCAAATAAGAACCGTAGTAATAGAAATTAACCGGATTTGTGAAGATTCAATATTAATTGTTGGATACGACAATATAATAAATACCACTTAGAAATAATATTTTACTTTTCCAATTAGAAATAATATCATTATAGCTAATAAATTGCAGGCGTGCACATAAGCAACGTCATGCTATTTAGTATAATGTCATAAATCATCTAGGCTTTGCAAATTGCAACAAACTGTCCTCATCAGATTCAGGATCGAGTCTCCCAAGTCTCATCTGTTATCCATGAAATAAAACTTACATATATTTCCCTTGCATTGAAATAGCAACTATTACATTGTTGAGTGTTGAGTAATCACAACAGTCATCAAAAATTTTATTCACAGGGAACAAAGAATATACATCCCTAAGAGGAAATGACTTTGTCATTTGCACCCTTTTCATCCATCTACAGATCAGCAGCAAGCTAGATATTTTACAGAGTAGAGAAAAGCCAAAAATTAAAAAGAAAGGAAACAGATGAAAGAAACCAAGACAAGAAGGCCATAGCAGCAGACATTTGATATCTCTCACATAACTTCGATGGGCAATGTGATCCACCAGCTTCACGCAGAAGATCTGCGATACTGGCTGTAGAACATGCTGCAGCTAGTGACAGACATGACAAAATCTGGAGTAAAGAAAAAATATCCTTAGTGACTTAGTAGTATGGCAACAATAAGGTCTCTAAGTCTTGGATCAGAAACAAGATGCACGTACCATGTCTCCAAAAAAGATTATGATTATGAGCCTTCGTTGAACCGGTAAATGTCGTATGAAGACAGAGTAAGCATCTACCACCAATAATGTTATGCTCCATGGAATTACCAAACCCATGACTGTTACCAAATAGCTGTTGAATAATATCATGTATAAAGACAAAAGTTAAAATTCCCCAGGTGAGGCACATGCATTTATGATAACCTTGACAATAAACTTCAAGACACGCCAATATAAGTTCTTAAAATATAATGACATGCATATGCCTAAATTGTTTTATTTCTGTTTTCAATTATGAAATTGTACATGGACTAACATAGCACAAGGACTGGAGCTCTTTTATCACAGACAAATCATGTCAGTATATGATTTTAATGGGACAGATAAAATTTAAAATTTGGAACCCCTCTCTTCCTTTGCCATCATACAATTCCATTGATTCTTGTACCTTCTCAGAAATATTTCGACCAGGGTGGTAAACTTGACAATCTTCCCATATTTTGTGTTCAAGGCTGGAAATATTCTGACTTGAGGTGGCAGACAGCTTAGCCTTCTCGCACTTCGTCAGTAACTATTGCCTAGACAGACATTGCACCCATGAATCCATTGAGGAAGTCAGATTTATAACTCAGCTTAAGAGTTGAGATGCACTAGATTATACTATTTGAACGTTCTAGATTTAGACTGCCGTTGAGTTATTTTAGAGGAGATTCTACATACAGGAACAATCAAATGGGAACCTAAAAGATGTTGGCAACTCCAACTTTGTATTAACCTTTCCTAATGAAAGGTTAAATATAAGTTAAAAAAATTAGAACAAATTCGTTCTCTCCCCTTCCCTAAATCCTACTAATTTTCAAAATATCCGGAGTTTATGCCTGGCAATGTGTTAGTACGCTACTTGAATGTAATTTTTTCCCAATTGACATGTATAAACTTTCTTTCAAGGTCCCTAGTTGTAATTTCTTGTTTCTATACTGCTGCTCCTGTTCTCAAAACAGTATAAATAATGGATCTGCAACATACCAACATTGATTTACCTTTACAAATTCTAACTTTCAATAGCATAACAAGAGAAACACACCCTATCTCTGCTCATGTTTTTGGGGTACACTAGGAGGTACAAGTCCTTTGGTAAGGAAAGACAGATAGGTGGCCTACTGGAGGATCAAATGATTCTTTAAGTTTGGCCACTTTCCCTTGCTGTGGTACCAGTACCACTCTCTATAGTCTATAGGAATCATTGATTGGTTGATTTCAGGTAGCAGTGCATATGTTTAAAAATCAATAAATCAATAAGCAATTCTACTTTGTATCAATGAAAAGATGAGAAATCATTTTAAGTGTGTAGAAGTGAATTACCAGAAAGCAGTGTAGGAGTAGAAGCCAACGTCTAAGCACATGATGAGAAGGGAAGAAGATGAGAAAACGGTCTGACCCAAACGAAGAGCCAAGCTGGCGCTGGTGCCAAACGCCCCTGACAACTCCAATTCCTCCATCACTCACCTCCTTAGTGTTGTTCCTGTGAGATAGGCTTATGAAACATGCCCAGATTTTCCTCCTAACATGAAAACCAATTAGCGGAAAAAAAAATGGTAATAAAACAAAAAGGGAAATAAATAAAATGAAAACAAGGGAACAGGTAAGCTGAGAATATGAATGTGAAACGAATATAAATATGGAAAGAAAAAGAGGAGCATAAGACACGGTGACAGAGACAAAATAGTAATTAATTTTATTCTTGATTTAGTTTGATGGTGAATTGCTAAAGGAAATGAAGAGTAGTGAATTGTTATAGAGAGGCAGGGATGGAATTGATAAGTATATGGTTGTCTGTCGAGTACGTAGACTGTGTTCCGTCGGCGCCAACACGGGTTGTATTCGGATACCCGCCTCTTAATCATGCACTCACTGCCAAATGCCAATTGGACTAAATTCATTTAATTTTCTTTATTTAATTCTAATACATTCTCTCTTCTTCTTCTTCTTCTTTTTTTTTCATATGAGGTGGATATGTTTCAATTTACTTAATTAAAGACTGATCTCGATAATGTTTGATCATCATAAGTTACGTCTATAAATTCAAATTATTCTTTTATTATTAATTTTAGAATATTGTGTTTACGGAGATCATGTTTATAAAAAAAAAAAAATTCATTCATGATATTGTGATTATTTTTTGTCCAACGACTTTTTTAATATATTACATATTGATTATTAAAAAAATAAAATAGAAAAAAATCTCATAATTAATCATATATTCTCTTACTTTTCTTATTATTTATCAACGTTTGATTAGAAATATTAAGATACAATAGTATTCATTCTTCTATCCATATTTTTTTATGGAGCACTAAGTTAATATACACAAAGTTCTAAGTTTGAGTTATAATGTTATTATTGTAATTGTTATTGATAAAAAAAAATTGTTTGAGATGTGTGCATGAACATTTCTTTTGTATAATAATAGTAAGTAGAGATGGATATATGAACTTATCTACCTTAAGGTCTAAGTCATTCAAGGTTCGACATGTGAAACTTGCACTTTTAACACGTCAAATAAACTTAATTTGTGAAAATAGTTGTTCAAATTTTTCAGCTTGAGTCCATCTCGCAAAGTCTGTAGATAAATAGATCGGTTCACAAATCAAATAAAATTTTGAACTTCTTTTAAAAAATGAAAAAAAAAATTTCAAATTCAAGATATCTTTTCCTTTTCTTTTTTCTTTCTTTTTTAAGGTTTTGCAACCTAAGAAAGAAAAAGAATATATAAAAAAAATGAATATGAATACATGTGTAACAACATCAAATTTTCTAAACTAAAATCTTAATTTACAGAAAAAAGGGAGATTTACCCAAAAAAATCAAAATCAACATTCAATATTGCACTTTTTAACAAAATATTAACATTCAAATAGATAAATGCAGTAATACACCAACCAAATAGCAGAGATTTAATGTATTAAAAATAAACATGAAACATATTAGTGTGAAGTGAGTTAGTCCAAGAAGTCACAGAATAGTTGCATCACTTTAAGCAAATTCCTTTGAAGAAGTTCGTTCAAAGCGCCTAGTTGGTTGGCTTGGAACGAGCTTGGATTGAATCTTTCATTAAAAAAAACTTTAAGCATAAGATATATTTAATAATTGTCTAAATTAGATAAAAAATTGTAGACATATTCGACAATTATCAAAATACATCAAACTTATAATCTTTCTTGTCCTCAAGCAAATATAAATCAAGCACTGTTTTTATTCTAAACAACTTGAGATGTATTAAGAACATTCAATATGAATAAATTCTACTATTCAAAAATTATTTTCTTTACTATTTGAAATGCATTTGGCAAGTACACTAATTGTTATCGGTAGTAAATTCAACAAAAGTTCAAGTTATTGAATTCATAAGAATTTGAGTTATAATTGTTTGATGTAATTTTGGTACTAAATAGATGATTAAATATATTTAAAATTGTTTAACATTAAATGTAAGTAATTTATAAAATTATGGAATTAAAAGCTTGTAACAAAGTGTGAAGAAAAGAGAGACACTGGAAAGGAAGTTGAATAATGTTAGTCAAAAATTCATTTTTTGAAAATAGTAAAGTAGTAACTTAACAATGAAGTGCGGACAAAGAATTAATTAAGAAACTGAACACAAAAGATTTTTATACGGGTTTGTCTTTATTACTAAGATTACATCTAGTTCTTGATCCAACCAATATCAAGTTTCACTATCTTATACAAAGATACAACTATTTTTTCCCAAGCTATTTCTGACTCAAACTTAAGTGTTATTTGACTTGTCTCTTCAAGCAACTAGTTTATTCACTAGTAGAAAAAACACTTTTAAAATCGGTCATTTTTTACTTTTAAAATCGGTTGTCTGACCGATTTTAAAAGAGCCGATTTTAAAACCTTGATTTTAAAAGTCATTTTTGTACTATAATGATTCCTTCTTCTGCCATTAGTTTGGATGCTAAAGTGTCTTGGCTTACTATTATTTGTCTCCTTTGTAGAGTATTGTTTCTCCTGCAAATCCTTTCAATTTATGGATTGTAGCACAACTCTCTAATTGAATTTTTACCTCACATAAACAAAACTCAAGCTAGAAAATTGATTATGGATTTATTATTTATAATTATTTTATTTTCTCTAATAGATTTTTTAAAAGTTTAATCATGTAATTTTTTATACATTATTTTAGATTAAATAATATTTTTTCGGTGCTTTGGGCAATCACCTTACTAGCCCGTGCTTAGAATTTCCACTAAACCTTAGTAATGTTTCCTATGAGTTATTGTAAATTCTTTGACGTGAAATGCAAAATTCAATTTTTGTAGGTAAAAAATAAAAACTAAATACTTGCATAGTAATTAGCTATAAAAAATTAGCTAATGAATAGAAATATAGATTTCAATCATAATCTTAAAACATTACAAATATTATAATAACATAATAAGTAATACATTATGTGTATATAAATAAAGAATAATTATTGACTTCTAAACCAATTTTTATAATGTCTAAATCCATCTCCTTAAAATTGTATCATATTCTATATAGTGATTGTTGTTGAATTTATCAGATTGTTATCAGACTACTTACAGATATTTAATCTTATAAATTTCATGCTCGAAATATTTATTCCTTAATCCTAAGAAAGGTATATTAGAGATTTCATATCAATTTTTTGACATGACTAATATTGTATATAAATAAAGAAAAATCATCACCTTATAAACCAATTTTATAAAGCTAGTTTCAAATTCATTTTCTTTTAAGAGAAAAAAAAACTTAAAATAATTAATAAAAAAAAAGTATTGATAGGTTTTCAAGATAAAGTAAGCCATGGCCTATATATGGTTTGGAGAATTCAAACAAGCATATGTATTTATGATTTTTCTACTCAAAACTCTCACAATTCTTATCGTAATCATAGTGACTACATTACTTTTACATGTTTATAAAAATGAATAACACATTCGAAAAAGGAGAGACTAACACCACATTCAAATACCCAGGTTGAAGAAACTTTTTTCGATCACTTTCTTTTATTTTGGATCAATAGGTTGAAGACACCGATCCAACCTTGTTTCATTAGCAGGTTCTTCGTTTCTGTTTACTTTTAAAAAAGCAATAATCGCTTATTGTACAAGAGCTTTAAAGAACAGAATGAAAAGGCAAGGGTCCGCAATGAGAAACACGTATACGTTGGTACTAATCGCCACATGCAAGTAATTAAACACGAATGCTCCAAAACGTACGTAAATTAGACATTTTAATTTGAAGCATTATGATCGAAGTCATTACAATATACAGACATAATAAAGCTCTGAGTGGTTGGGCAAAGTGTGGTGATGGAGTGGAGTTACAATAAAATAGAAGCAATTACGTAGCTCTAGCATTAGAAAAAGGTCTATGACGCAAGCTGAGCATACCAGACACCTTGGATCTTAACATCCTTAGGAGCCTTAGCTCCCAAATCAGTATCAGAAGGCTGAACGCTCTCAAAGACCCCAATAACCTCACCAGTCTCGGGCTTAGTCTTGGTCACACTCAACGTGATCTTCCCTTTCGAGGAAGAAGCACTTTTGTTGTTTTCCTTAGCAAGTTCCTCCTCATCACCTCTTCCACCAGCGGGCAAAGCAACCGCATTGTCGTAACCGGTGGATGCACCCCTTCCCTTGGGGTCCAAGAAAGAGGAACCACGGTACGAGGGTACCAGAAACTCCCCTCCGAAGTTGTCCGGTTTCCCAGACGCCACCAACTGCTTGATGGTGAAGAGGAAGGGCACGCGCTCCCCGCCGGGGAGCTGAACCGTCACTGCAGCGTAGTCGATTCCGTCTTTCTCCTCGAACTTGACCGCTCCATCGGGGGAAACCTCGAAGGGACCCTCGATCTCGTCCAGCGTGTAGGTCAAGCGAGTCATCAGCTTCGTGTTTTGGAACTCCGGTGGCGCGTTCTTCGCCACGCCCTCGGCCTTCACCGTAAATGAAGTGGGTTCCAGGCAGAATTTCTGCGCGTTGTATTTCCCTGGCTTGAAGGCGAACGATTCAACTCCTCCTTCAATGGTTGGACACTGGTTCGCAGTTCCGGTTCCCTTCACTTCCAGGTATGTCTTGCTCTGGATTTCGTCGTAGGTTAGCCTCTTTGGCACACCTTCAGCACTCGCTCCCTGAAAATGTTACACCCGATATTTCACAACGTTCTTACTTCATTAGTCATGCATGAATAGGATATGCCACTAACATTATAAGTACATAATTTACTAAATTAAGACATCTCAATTGTGCATTGAAATCTTTCAACATTTGCAGGGACAAGATCAAATGAGGAAATTCGCTACACTTATAATGGAGAGTTTTAAGTTGACTCAATCACAAACTATATGTATGCATGAACTAATAAAGTATGACATATTTCGTAATTAACCTTATCTTTTAACTATGTTCAGGGATTAAATCTCTCATAAATAAATCTCAATATTTCTTGAGATTAATTATTAACTTTTCATCTTGATTTATCAAAATAAAATATGTATCATGCATGATATGATAAGTATGTATAAAAAATTTTACAACGTCTTTTAATCACATACTACCACTATACCAATGATAATTTTGATGACTTTTAGGATAATTAGTAATAGGGATGATAATAAAGATTTCTACTTAAAAGTTATAGTGAGATGCATGATCATTTGAACCCTTTTTATGTTGCAATTGACGAAGGGAATGAGCGTAGATAATGGATGATGTTGGTTTTGTTTGTATGAAAGTGTAATAATTGAAGATATTAAGGGAGAAAGGAAAGTAAAACATACGGAAACAACGAGAGCAGAGGTGGCAAGGGCGAATCCTGCGATTTTGGAGGCGTCGAGGCATTTTTGAGCCATGTCCTTGAGATCAGACTGGAGAGAGCATGTGAGTTTGGCTCCAGCGGGTTCAAAGCCGAAAGCCTTAGAAACGCATTGTGCTGATTTGAGGTTGCGAGAGGTTATGCCCACCTTGGTGGGTTGCATGAGGGTAGCTGCAGCTTGTAGTGAGGCTGCCATTGATGCTTGGTGTAGCCTCCAAAGTGAAATGTTTTTGTATGTAAGATGTTTTTGTGAGTGATGGCGGAGAATAGTACTTTGTGGGTGTGGTGTGAGTAAGATTTCCGATAGGGTAAGGCTAACTCTTATTGGATGAGGGAGGCTAATGTCAATGGTTTTCTTGTTGCCACGTTGGAAGTTTCTCAATTGGATGGGATCAAATATATTTTCAGTCACAAATCAACTTATTTTAGATCATCTCTAACCATTAGTTTCCATTTCTTTTATAATTACAATCATGACCTTTTAAAAATAGGAAAATAATACATATAAATATATCGATCATTTTGTTCACGTATTAATTATTTTATTTTATATTGATTATTTTGCTATTTTTATATTAAAAGTTTTTCTTAAATATTTATAAACGAACTAATTCATGTACATTATATAAAGAATGCACGAGTGAGTCATATTTTGCTGTTTTTATATTAAAAGTTTTTCTTAAATATTTGTAAACAAACTAATTCATGTACATTATATAAAGAATGAACCAGGGAGTCATAAAACGCATAGCATTAAGCTATTTACTTTCAACTCTATATTCTTCTAAGTATGATTCATGAGACTCGATGTCAAATTTTTTTAATGCATCTGGAGTCAGAACAGTCTGTTCTGGTAGTAAATTTGATGTGTTAATTTTACACCTGGAACGGGTCGTTCCGGATGTAAAATTAACACATCAAGCGTGTAACCAAAACGGGTCATTCTAATTTCAGAACAGCCCGTTCTAGATCCAAAATGCCAAATACAATCTCAATAATTATAGTCAACGACAGATCTATAAATTTTAGATCGTGAGAACAATACTTATTTATATATTTGTAATATTAAAAATTTTACATATAATTTTTAAAAATATAAATATATATTATAGTTATTTTTTACAAGTTTTTATATCTAAAATTACAATTAAGAATGAAAATAAACTAAGTCAGATAATGTTATATTATAATTTAACATAATTAAATTTAATTTTTATTAAAAATATATGTTATTAATATGATATATTTATCTGTCATAGACATTTTTTAAAATGTTTGGTTAGAAATACAATCTTAAAAACATACTTAATAATAATTTAACACTAATAAAAACATAAAAATAAATATGTTAAATCTTATAAAAATTAAATTTAATTTATTTATCATATAAAGATGTAAGATGTTTTTGATATGTGATATAAATTTTTACAATTTTGATTTTTTTAATCAACATATACAATAAATAAAAAGTATAAAAATTTGACAAATGAGATAAATGAATAATTATTCAAAATTTATATTTTTATACATATGATAATTTAAATATATATATATTTATTAGAATATAATTTTTATGTGGAAATGATTTATTTTTTATCTTTCAACCACATAGTGTGTTGGTTGGCATTCTGGAACGGTCAGTTCTAAATCCAGAACATCCCATTTTGGAAACTAGAACGGCCCGTTCTGATTTCAGAACGGCTCATTCTGATGCACTTGTTAGTATTAAAGAATGCATCTGAAACGCTCGTTCTGGATGCAAAATTTATGCACCATGAGTGCAACTAGAATGGTCCGTTCCAATTTCAGAACCGTCGTTCTAGTTTCAGATATATGAAAAAATTAAGTCCAAATAATTTAGACAAAAGTGTGACATTACAATAATTTAAATTATTAAAGATTAAATTAGAAGTTGTTTTAAGATATTAAATTTTTGGACGTAATTAATTTTCATCACAACAATATTTTTGGTAAAATTATGGGAGAAAATAAAAAAATAAATAGTTAAGACCTATTAATCACCTACAATTTTTGTGTTATCAATTTCATTAGGTACTACTAATCACCTACAATTGATATTTTTTCACAAAAATCTTTCAATTTTTACAACCGCATTTCCAAGTTTTGGAATGGATTTAAAAATATTCCATTTTATTAAAAGAATACAAATAAATTCAGTAAAAGTTCTTTTAAGTTCACTTTAAGTTTAAACTCGCTGATAGTTTTCACCAAAGTACCTTAATTTTCAAGTAGAATAACTATTTTCAAAAATAAAGTGTACCAATCCAAGCAACTCTTATTTTGAATTAAATGGAAATATCTTGCTAGAACAAATCCAATACAGAACTAGGTTTCAATAAAAATAGAAAATATGTGGCAAAATACATTTACAGGGAAGAAATGTTATGTTGAATTTAATTTCACAAGGCAACAAAAGTAATCTCTTAATGAAAAATAAAAACATTTATCCATGTTTCCTCCACTCCTGAACAGCTATAAATTTTTTCACAAGAGGAAAGAAAAGCAGTTTTGCTCTGAAATAGTGTTGATTAGCAAAAAAGTTATGAGTAAAAAATAAACCTAAAATAACATTGTAATTCATACATATCGGTTGCTAAGGTTCATAGCTCGGGGATCAATGGCGATAAACTAAAACAACAAATCCAGAGAGATGCAATTTGGAGAGAAAGACAGTAGCTCAAAAGTGCTTGAAATGCAATCATTGAGAAACTCAACAGAAAAAAACATGTCACTCTCATCACAGCCACCATATCGTCTTTCTTTATCTTCTCCACCCAAAAAAGGACTAAGGCTAAGCTTTTAAAAATCTGTGCTCATGATTCCCACCACAAAATTCACAATCACAAAACATCCACAATTATCCGAATTTATCATAATTTTACATAATATCAAATAAAAATAAAAACAGAAAATCAACCCCGATTTAAACCTTCAACGAGACACAAAAAGACACTAAAACTTAAATACGATAGGCATTCAGAATGAGTAGGAGGATATATTTTTTTCATTTGAATATCAAATGACAATAAACATCATCACCATGCCAAGTTTCAAAATGCACAAAAAAAGTTTAAAATTCATATAACAATCAGCATAGATAAAATTAAACAACCCAACCCTAAAACAAAAGACGGAAGGAACAGTGGAATCCTCTCAGACAAATGCCTCGATTTGTCGTCAGGGTTGTAAAGAATGGATAATCGGACTCGTCATCATTTTAATCATCACAGAGAAAGCCACAAATCATATTGTTCCTTCGTCAACATTTACCCCCAAACAACAATAGCTAATACTGATATCGAAAAAACCAGACTCACATAAACAAAGGAAACATTGGAACAAAAAGAAAGCGTCTCACTAACTGCCAAAGACTAAGAGAGAAGATGATTGTGGTGGAGAAAAGCGGTGTCCATGGTTCCTTGAAACCCCAGAATATGCTTCAATTATATAGGCCAGTGGGTTCCGTTTAGATATTAGGGTTTTGTGTCAACGTTAGGGATTAGTAGGCCTTGACCCGGACTAATTGGGCCGAACATTAACCATGGGCCTTGTAAAGAAAATTTTCCGCAGAATTTAAGTTGGCCGTCTTAGTTGTTCGCGCAAAATTAATTTGCGGTCATTAAATTGTACCGAAATAGATATTGGGTATTTTTTTTTTTTTTTATCGAATAACACTTTTATTTATGTAATCCAATTTCTGATTTCATAATAATAACATTTGGAAACAACATTACGTTCAGAAATTAGTTATAAGGTTCAAATAAGAGATTATTTTTGGTAAATATGAAGCTTTGATTCTCTCATTAGTAGTCAACACAGTTAAAGTGAGCAACCGTCCATGGTTCATTTTTAAAGGAATATTAATATTTTATAAAAATAAAATTATATAATTAAATTATATAAAAATATTATTATAAAAGTAAATTAATCAACAACAATTAATCAATTGATATATAATATTTTTATTTCTATATAAAATATTATTTGTAATTTAAAAAAATAAATCAATGATTTTAAATATAAAAAGTGTAATATATAATATAATATATTATGAACTTATTTCCTTTAATTTTGTTATCATATACTTCTCTTATTGTTAATAAATAAGGATTGCATTCAAATTTTTATCTTTATCTTTATACATACACATACATATATATACACATAGAAGGAGGAAAGGTTAACTTACTTTAAGAGTAAGTCAAGTCCACTTAAATTTACTTTACTAAATAATTCATGTTCTATATCAAAATTTAAAGACCAATTAATAAATTTCTTAATGTATAGATCAAATTTATAAATTAAAATAAATTAAAAATCATATGATATTTCATTATATAAATTTAAATCAATGTATAAAATATTTTTATGATTATTTCTCAATTCGAAATTATAAAATTAAGTATTATATGATTTTAAATTTTTTTAAAGAATTTGCATATTCGATCTTTATATTAAAAACTTTTAACTAAACAGGTAAATTATTAAAATTTGATGTAGAACATGAATTATTGTGTAAAGTAAGTCTTTAAATGTATATGTAAATGTGTTTTTTCCCCTAGATTATTGACCACCATAGTTGTAGATCAAGCCACTGTTTGTTACTTAAAAATGTTCAAGATAGGAGCTGTTTTGTGAGAAATTATATTTTTTTTTTAGATGTTTGAATAATATAGGAAAGAGGAAGTTCCCTCCCTGTTTGGTGCGACTTGAACTGTTGTTTTTCAACAATTGCACGTTCTCTATTCAATAATAATAACATGTGTCACTTGCCAAGATAGTTCAAAGAATTGGATCATGTACTGGTCCCTCCACAGTAACTAACGATGGTTGAAGAGTTGTGAAACACACGGGAAATTATCCATTTGACTACTACTAGTCTACTACCTACTCCCTAAAGCATGAGTACAAATCAAGGATAGGATAGCCCAACGAGACAAAGGCAGCACTAATGTCTTTTGCTTATGGGTAAAGGAAGAAGCCTTTGCACCTTCCTTTCTTTGGCGGACACAACTACTTGTTGGATCGAGCACTTACCACTAGGCTAAAAGTTATAGTTGATAGTCAGGGCGCAACTCTTTTTACTTAAGAGCGCAACAGCCCAAGCGCCATGATTCGACAGTGACTTGGCTCACCTAGCCTCCGCCACGAGACAATTGATGCAACCCGCAACAATCTCCCCCTCAGCATTGATGCAACCCGCAACAATCTCCCCCTCAGCAATTGTCCCGCTGGATATCGAACTCATGACCTTGGTTCTGATATCAATTATTGGATCGAGCGCTTACTACTAGGCCAAAAACTATAGCTTATAGCTGATAGTCAGGGCGCAACTCTTTTTACTTAAGAGCGTAACAGCCCAAGCGCCATAATTCGACAGTCACTTGGCCCACCTAGTCTCCGCCACGGGACAATTGATGGAACCCAACTAATAACACATTGAAAAAGTGAGTGTAATTTCCAGCGAAATCCGCTGTCTGCACTATCTCACGCAATGTGCATGAGTCATGAGTGACTCGTGAATTAGGTATCTTTGGCAACCTTGGGTTGGGTTGTGCAAATTAAAGGTGGAGTCAAATATTTTGTTTTTTTAATACTAATCAATTATCCCCATAACCTAAAAAGCCGTGTCTCTCAGCAATTTACCCAGTCAATCAAATAATTGGCGAACAGGAGAAAAGTTTTTATTTCCTTTAATTTTTTATGATAAATTTACGGATTGGATTCTGTTGGGTACAGAGTAAAAGACACATAAAACAATTCCAGTGAAGCATACTGATAATACACCGGCAACAAATGCCAAACGTGCAATTACACTTGAAGGCGATGGGGACCCATTCCCACGTACTACAATCATATTATCACGTGCCATGAGGGTGCTACCAATTCAGTGTTCACGATGAGGACGCCGCTGGGGCCTACCTTCACCCACCGTTGGCTCATGCGAATCACAAACCTGCGTTTTGAACTTGCAACCGAATTTAGCCAGGGAGGCCCGCCAGGGCCCACCGCCTCGTGGGCCCGTCTTCTCAATCTTCTCAATCACTCTCTTCATCGAAGAACACTCGCGTTCCAGCTGATGCACCCGACTCCTCATGCTATCCATGTCCAATCGAAGCACCTGATTCTCCCTCACCGTCACCTGCCATTTGTTCCCATCGCCGCGACCGTGCGTGCACGCTTCCCCATTCGCATCCTCTCCCGACGCCGCCGAAAGCCTCGCCGGCTCCTCCGCTGCCACCAGCGTTCCGGCGATGGCGTGTCGCAGTTGAAGCTGCTCGAAGAAGAGCACCCGAACCACTGCGCGCAGCGGGAGTCTTTCATTCTGCGCGGCGTGCGTGCACGCTTCCAGCGTAAGCTTCTCGCACTCCAACAATTCACAAATCTTCTCCCTGTCTGATTTCGAAACCCACGGATGCGCCTGCATTTAACGATCCAAATTATCGTTTTCAATAACTAATTATATTTCTTAAAAAAAAACGTAATGGAATAGGTGATAGGTAGGTAGGTACCTTGAGGTAGACATCTACGGCACGATAGAGACCGTCGTGGAACAGTCTCGCTCGATCAGGAACCGAGACAGCGAGATTGTAGAATTTCGAAGGCTTGAGATTCGCATCGGAAGCGATCTCCGAAAGATAACCGTCGATGAGTTTTCCAACGAGCATCAGCGCCGGCGACCTCGGAACACGGCCGTTGATTGCAGCGACGTGTCGTTCTTCTTCCAAGAAGTGACCTAAAATCCTCGCTACGCAATCAATATCGTAGAGAGTTTCGTTTAGGTAGGAATAGCTAGGTATGAGAAGGTCATCCAGAGTAACTTCGTCGAGCTGCGATCCTATCATCTTCTCCAACGCGTCTCTGCATGCTTCGGAAGCGTTCAGTATGGCGGCGGTTCGTAAAAGTCCGAATAGAAACCTCACTGGCATTGAATGCTTGGATGAAAGGTTCGAGGTCACAAGCTCAAGTAACTCTTTCTGTTCCGCTTCTGAAGAAGATGATGTCAAGGCCTTCCGATTGGACCTCGATAAACCCGGAATGTGTTTCTTAGCGTATTGCATAAGGCAAGTTTCGATTATCTCTGGCTTCAACTCAGATTCTTTCATTGCTAGAATTAATTGCTTAAACAGAGGTAAGCCTAGAAACGTAAGCTCTTCAAACCACGAGTCATCTTCGCCATCGACCGCGCCCTTTCTTCTTCTGCTTCTTCTTCCTCCGGTCTCGAGAAGCGTAGAAGCGGAATCACTCACCGGCCACCTGAAAAGTGCTTCGGAGACGATGGAATCAACGCACCTCCGCGTGATGCCTAGAGTCTCCGCCAGAGGCATTAAGCGTTCGCAGGATTTTAATGCTATGATGGAGTCCTTGGCGCTGTTGAGCACGGACTGCGAGAGAAAGCTCTCCGTCTTGGAGATAAGGTTTTCTTCGGAGTGTTCTTCCGTCATCTCCAGAAACTCTCCGGCGCAGCGCAGAGGAGCTACATTGGATGAGGATAAGTGGATTTTAACGCCGAAACAGAACTTCGCGGCTAATTCAAACGTCTCGGAGCCGCCGGGGAAGTCCGCAAACGCCAAATGACAGTGTTTTGCTTCCTCTTCTTCTTCTGGAATGGCAGCGGAGGAATGATTTGCTTCTTGCTCGGTTATTAGCCGGTGAAGCTTTCGACTGTTTGACATCAGCGGAAACTGAATGAAACATGTCACGACACAGGACAAATTTTAGAGAACAAAATACAGAATATTGTTGGGTTTGCACTTTGCATGCATAAGATAGGAATATTGGTATTGTATTGGAAGCTCACCTTGTGAAGATGGAAGTTCATGTCATTCACTTCAACCACAATGTCACTTGGCAATCCCGTTGTGCAGAACCTGCATAAAGGAATTGTTATGGTTATGGTTATGGAATATGGATATGATCTCATTTGGATTAGGAACAGAGTTGTTCAGGGGTTTTGAGGGAGCAAAGAGGTATTCATCTAACCATGTTTGCACTTTGGAGCTCTGTTGTTCCCCTGTTGCCATTTTCTCTGTAAAATAACTAGGACTCTCTGGAAATCTCAGACTAGCTTACTAATACTATAAAATCAGATACGTGAAAATCCAAATAATAAAAATAAATTTCACTTGAACTGGATTCCAAAGACGCTGAAAACTAAGCGAATATTAGAGAGTGGAGAATGGAGATTAAAAAAATGTGAAGGAGGGTGGGCAGAGATTTTATTATCACCCTGAATATAGACGTATTGTAGAGAAGTAGACTTAACCAGCTCTACCAATTGCGAAAAATAGAAGATGAGAATGGAAAGAAATTGTCTTTTTGTGCTTTCTGTTGAGGTTTTATGTAGAAAAGAACAGGTAAAAGTTTATTATAAGAAAAAAGAAAAAAGGACCGGGCGAAACTAGTATGGAATCCACAAACTCAAAACGGACAAATAGATCTAGACCAATATCCTAAAAAGGGGTTCCATAGGATCCTTTTCCTTCCTTTGCCAGAACTTCCTTTCTTCTTTCTTCTTTCTTCTTCTGTGAAATAGATCAGAATCTCACTCTCACCTACTCTCTCTTTCTCTCTCTCATGACTTCAGATGGCAATTGGACTCACTAAAAGGAGGTACCATTGATTAGTTTTCTTTTTGGAAAGACCATATTCCCATTAGCTCATGTAGCATTGCTTGCCAACCAGGTTATTACTTTTGCGTAAATGATGGAACGATTTAGTTAGGAATTAGTACCCCGCTTTCTCACATACTCAGTAACTTTGCTTTTGCTTAGTTTAATAAATCATTTTTTATCATTATTTTATGCAGAACAGCTGAAATAACTGTCTAAAGGGCCCAAGGGGACCTTCAATTTGCTCGCTTTCCTACCAACTTTATATTGTATCATCTGTCTTAAGCTAGTTAACCAATGCAATATTAATGATAATAGACCATACTTGAGCATGGAATTCATGTAGCCTTTTCCTATATTTACTCTTAACAGCAATTAAATAAATATCAATGACCGTGATGCATAATCTATCTTTCCTCTCATCTGCCATTGAATAAATATAATCAGAGTGAAATTGGTTGAAAACCATATATTGGGGGGAAGCCTGCGCAGAGTATAGCAAAAATCTATCTGGTTAAGTGTAAGGTAATGGATATGTGATTGTTTATAATCATCGGCTCGTAAATCTTATATGACATATGACATTAATTTGTTGATTTTGTTATTCTCTCAATTTGGTATGAAAAAATATAAATAGCTAGCTAGTCATATATGGTGTGTGGAGCCATATCTTCATTTATCTTAGCATATCTATCTTCCTATACTTCCGTAGAATTTACGACTGCCTTTATTGAGTAGACAACCATTGTAAGGTACATTGTTCCAATCACTAGTTCAAAATTATTGAAGTTTTCAAATTGAGGCACATGAGAATGTGGACAAACATCAAAAAGGCTGGGAAGACAGTTCCAAGATGAGCAACAAAGGTCAGATAAACCCCACTTACCTTACTCTTTCAAATTCCTTTGAATCGGTCAATTTGCACTGATTATTTGAGAATATGTGACTGATGGGTGTAGGAATTTCTTTATGAATTATTTCATTAAGAGAAAAGAACGAATTTCTTTATCAAATTGTCAATAATATAACGCACCAGCTCTGCTGTGCTTTTGTTTTTGGCCATAACGGATAATTACAAGAAGCAAATTGTGGATAACGTTATTTGATTAGGCTTTAGAAAACGTTAGTCTTATTCAGCGAGTCTTACGGCTAATTATCTCATTTCGATTAATTTAAAAATATTGTTTTACAACGATTAAATTTATACAGATTTTTTATTCATATACATAATTTTTAGATTGTTTTATTTTTAAATTTTTAAATAATCAAAAATAATATTAAAAATTAACTATTCTTATGAACCTAAAACTCAAATCTTAGACCTTGAAATTTAAAAACTGTGCATAACGTTAGTTAACTCAACAAAGATTAGTAATTTTTAGATATTTTTAAACAAATATGGATGTATAGAATATCTGACTCCACTGATATTTATTATAAAAGAAATATCAAGATTTGTAATCATTTTTTTAGTAAATCATCATACTTCTTGAATGTTTAAAAAAATAATATATTATATTCTCTTTGAATAATCACCCATTATCATCTATTTAATTATTAGAGACACTAAATATCTTGAACCCTTTAGTTAATAAAATTCTTACAATTATATATATATATATATATATATATATATATATATAATGCTGATCAGAATTCGATTTCCCGGAACC